CGAACAATACTAAGGAGGGGGCAGTGTTGCGACAGCGAGGTCACGTGACTAGTATCACGCCACTTTTTTCTCGAACCTTCCTAGATTGGGGGGTAGTCTGGTATATATAAGATGGTTACAACGTGACGGGACAACAGTGTAATGAGTAATTGAATGTATGTAGGTAGTGAGTAATTGATCTGCAGTCAGGGAGTATTGTTGAAGTTAACGTTTGTTTTAGCGCGAATGTTGAAATTAAGTGTATCGTAAAGTTATATTCAGAAAGAATAAACCAGTTTTATTAAGTAAGGACTTGTGTCGCTAAAGTTTCGTTGGAACGAAGTTACGGAAAATTAATTAACAAACGGAGACGTAACAATACTATATAAGAAAAAGTCCACCTACACTTGACATGAAAATATATCGCTTAGATTAGATTATCAAAAGAATATTTCAAAGGGGTGTATTATGTCATATAAGCGTTCGATAATGTGATCAAGTGAATAGAGATGATTTGTCAATGGAACTGTTTGCGAGTATAAAACGACCAAATGACCCTTAAGTGATAAATTAGCAATAAATGCCGTAACATAATTTTATTGGACATAGCCCTAAAAGCAGGAAAAAAAAATGATTAAAGTACATATATGTGCTCTAATTCTTTTAATATTAATACAGCATTCGTAAAGGATGATGGAAGAGGTCTAGATAGAACGTGACCCTCCCAGCTCGTAAACAAGAACGACTAAACACCGACCCAGACTTGGCTTGACGAAACACTTCCTTTCCTTCAGAATAAAAATAAAATTTAAATGTTTTATTATTATTGTTGTGTTATTTATACAAGGCCGAGAGAGGCTGCTAAGATAGTTTCGAAGACAGAAAACCATATTGATAATATTAATAGCAGTTCTAGTACACTAGTTTTGGAGTAGTAATATATCCCCATGCATTAAATACTCATTTATTGAATACTGCCTTTGTAAATTGTATAAATAATACACTGGAGAAAGTCCATCCCATCATCTGATTATTGTTATCACGATCAAATCAGGTTAAACTTAAAGGTAAGTGTAAGATTGAGAGTTGAGAGGAAAACTCACTCGTATGCGTAAGAAAGAAGAGAAAATCTTGTCTTGTGTAACTTGTAAGTTGATTTTTGTACTATTTTGTAGTAGTACTTATATAAAAAAATCAGGACCGTAAAACGACCATTAAATGTTGAATAGGACTACAAATAGACTTAGTTAAAAGCATACAGAAAGTTTCTGAGAAAAGGAGGTTCTTGTGGTGGATATTAATTGGTAAACGACATATTGTGCTTGACGTTCCGATAGTAATTTATTCTATACTATTACTAAAGTTATAGGTGACAAATTCTATCCCACGTCCACAATCTATTCTCTACTAATTTTCTTCAAATGTTTTCTTTTTCGATAACCTTATCCATTTAATTTTTTTCAACGAAACATATTTCGTAAGGATTATTTCAAAGTATGTAAACTATTTTAAGTATTTATTAAGTTTGTTATTACTAAGCCTAACTAAATTCTATTACACTAGTAATAGTAGTAGTACTAGTAATCCTTGTATTAACACTAACAGTATGCAGCTTGTGTACGATTATGAGTATCAGATAACATTTTTACTTATTATGACTCTATTTTACCATTCAGTTAATTACTGAAATAAAATTACTAACTCGTTATTTAATTGTCTACCTAATTGTATATGTTAGCATGTACAGTTGTGTTTTTCTAATAAGGTAGTTGTCCTTTGTAATGGGTTGCTTTCAGATATTTTAAAGGCAGTAAATATAAGTGAGTTTAAGAAAAAGCTTGATAAGTATATGAATAAGGCTGGCTTTAAGATTTTAAAAAAATTATTTGAATTTAGTTTAGAGGATGGAGCAGCCGAGATGGACCAATAGGTCCTATGTTGTTCCAAAACATTATGTTACGTTAAAATCAGACAGACAGAGAAACTGATGGTAACTAAAAGAAATAACTATTAATACAATTTTTCATTTTTGAATACAACCATGAGAGATTATTTCTCTAACTGAAAAATGTTCTTTGAGAGTATTGACCAATATGTAACAAAGTGAACTTTTTCTTCAAAGTCGGTTCCTTTGAAAACTAGTAAATTATGTGATGAATAAGATTGGAAGAGAAAAAATGTCACCATTATTTGAGCATTATTTCTAATATTTTACAGAATATTAAAAAAGTATCTCAACTTGGTACTTTTGCTACACCCTTATCAGCAGGAGAGGTTTCCAATGGTAATTAACAAAAGGCCATAAAACCATGTGCTTACTTCTTCCTCATTTTAAGTGTTTCAAAATTCCATGCTACCCTTTGTACAAGATCATAATTACTAATTAAAACTGTTTTTAGTTGTTTGCAATGAAAATTAGATCAAAGCAATTAGAAAGAAAAGTTTTTTTCCTGATATGTGATTAAATAATGTACTGCTTACTTTTTGGGAAACAAAATTTTAGTAATTGATGTTGTTAATTTTATATTTGACTTTCTGATATTTATTCTAATATTTAGTAACATACAAATACTGTTATTTTCAAAAATTAAACTTCTATAAAGTACATAAAATATAAAGAAAAATTACCTCAAAAAGAATACAAATAGTTAAATTTTTTGTTTCTTGATTATTGTTAATAGGAATAACTGTAGGGCTTGAATGTTTTTTATTATAAATACCGTTATTAAACATTGATACTTTTAAATTATTTTAATTTTGAACAATTAAGTTTGGCTCATATGTTTATTTTCTAAGTATAACCTGTTACAGTATTCAAAATATTTTCATTTAAAAACATGGATCATCTCTTTAGTAGTGAAAATATTATTTGAAAGGGTCTGTATTTATTGCTTAACCTTAAGAAATTTTCACAACCATTTTTGGGAACTGAACAGGTTGATGTAACATTGGCTTCACATGTTTATGTTGTAAATGACCTGTTGGAAATGATACATAGTACAAGTTTTATTATGTACAGAGGATAAAATTTCTTTACTAATGCTATGCATGTGGGCTTGACCAATTTGATTGATCTTTTACTCATCATGTAACCATGAAACTATGCATATTATAACTCTGAATATACTAAATGTATCTTAAAAAATTAAAAAAAACATTTACTAAACCGTACAAGTAAGTTGTATATAAAAAATATCAGATTTTTTAATTAAATACTTCTACTGATTTGTGTGGGAGCTTACAAAATCTTTACTGAGGTTAGTCTGTATGAAATGTAATTTTCTTTCTAAGAATGAAAATGCATCTTTTCATCATACAGTTTCATATTTCATTTGGATCACTGCTAGAACCTCCAAAATGACTATACATTTTTTTACCTTCTATAAACCTTTATATTTTATGTCTTACTTTCTTTACCCTAACACAAATTTAGCAAAATTATCAATTTACAGTGCAATGAATAGTTGAAAAATACAGTATATTAGATCACCAAGAAATTAATGTTGCTTTTTTTAGATGAAAAACACTACCAATTTATATATCAAAACACAACATTTATTAAATGAAATAGTCTCCATTCTTTTTAGTGATGCTTTTCCATCTTACAGTCAGGTTGTTAATGCCCTGATTAAAGAAATCACTTGGCTTTGAAACAAAAAAAAACATGTCGATGTCCTCTTTAACACCTTCCACATTTGCATACATTTTCCCATTAAGATGGTGTTGCAGTGAACGAAAAAGATGGTAATCTGATGGTGCCATATCTGGAGAATATGGTGGGTGGGGGAGAATTTCCCAACCCAACTCTATAATCTTGTGTTGTGTCAAATGTGTCACATGTACATGTCCATTGTCATGGAGAAGAACAACACTTTTCTGATTGATGAGTGAAGGGCGTTTCTGATGAAGGGCTTGATTTAAACGTTCCAGATGCTGACAATAGATCTATGCATTGACAGTTCGCTATGGATTGAGGAGTTCATAATGAATTACTCCATTGATGTCTCACCAAATGTTAAGCATCGCTTTCTGTGGATGGAGTCCAGGTTTCGGGGTCGGAAGGGTTTTTTAGCATTTAATATTCACATAGAGAATCCATTTTCCATCACCGGTGACAATTCTGTCCAAAAATGGTTCGCGTGCATTACTCACCAGAAGAGACGAAGCAACATTCACACATTGGAACTGATGATCATCGGAGAGTTCGTGAGATACCCAAGCACATTTTTTATGGAGTATTCCCTTATTCCTTTGATGTTTATGTATTGTTTCATGTGAGGCATGCAATTTCAGAGCCATTTCACGAGTGTGTTGCCTTGGGTTAGACTCAACAAGCATCTTCAGAGCATCATTATCAATTCCAACAGGTCAGCCCCTGCCATCACAGTTTTTAAGGCTAAAGTCATCTGAACAAATTTTTATAAACCTTCGTTGACACTTACGAATGTTCAAAACATTTCCATAAACTTCTTTGATATTCTTTGTGGGTACAGAGGTGTTGTTTCCCTTCTTGTATTCCAACAGCATTACATGCCGAATGTGTGTCTCATCATGTACCATCACTGTAAGGGATTGGAGTATAATAAACTTTACACATTATATAGGCTACACTAACATGATGTTTAGGCAGTTCGTTTAACTATTATACATGATGTACATTTTTTGGGAGGTGGTTAAAGTGTTCCAAAACGTGACATTAATGTCTTGACAACCTAATAAAATCAGTAATACTTTTTTTTTCTGGAATGATGCAAATTATAACAGACAATTACAATTGTTTATTCTAACCAGTGGTGGATCAGGAGTTGATCGAGGGTGGGGGGTCTAACAACTGGGCGCGAAGGGACCCGCAAGCGAGTGAGCATTTATGGGGGTGTCCCGGGATTATATTGGCTTCACATTATATAGCCATCCCTCTTCTCTGACTGAAGGAATTATATTACTAAATGAATACAAACCAAAAATGGGCATAATGAGTCTTCAAATATATAAAATGGATATCCCCCCCTTCTGGATCTGTCACTGCTAACAAACACAGTTTCTAACCACTTTTGCATCTGCTATCTTTTAATTTTACAGTTTAATTTTTGCCTTCTCTCTATATTAAAAGCAATAAATCACAGCAGGATATTTCTAGTACAGCTTAAATAAACAGTCAGGTTATAGTCACACACTAACCATGAGAGCTTCTTTTTTGAGGAAATGGAGGTTTGCTTGTTGGGGTTGCTCGTAGCTGAGCTACTTTTTTTTTTCACTGTCAGCTCCACTTAGCTCTATCAAGTATATAATCATTTGGTTGTTTAAAAATTTATATCCCTGAATGTGCAAGTGTTGAAAATGTTTTTTACAAGGAAGTTTTATAAACCAATTTTCCTATATGAATTTGATAGTCCTTAGTTTTAGACTATGGCTTGAAATACCACAACTATATATTTTGTTGGATTTTGACATGTTTTACAATCAGAACAATACAGTTTAGGAAAACAGATATCTGTCTGCCCATTGTGTATGAATATAAAGAAGAATAAGAGAAAAATAAATATGGAAAGAACAATTCCAAAACATGCATCCGCTGCCACTTGTAGCTATTACTCGACCTCTAGGGTTTCAATCTTTGCCCATCTAAGCATTGGTCTGAATTTTTCTCATTTGCTTTGGTCATTTATATCCAACTCAATTACCCTTGGCAGATATACTCTCCACCACATCAATGTGCCCTCTATCCTAGTACTGTATATAAGCACCTCATTCAGATTTTATAACTTTTTCTCGACAAAGCGTTTAGACACAAATTTCTCTGTACAAGTGCAGCAATAATTAATGTACTTGGTTGCGATATTCGTGTCACTTAGTGGCTTGTGATATAAGTTATATTCTGCACGATATGTCTTCTTCAGAATCTTTTTCTCACCACCTTCATGCTTTGGGCCTGTGCACACACTATTATATGGACAACTGTATACTTCTGGCACCATCTCATCAGTTTGTGGAAGAACACAACCAGATTGTACTTGCAGAAGCCACCAAGGCTGGCTTTCTTATCAAAGCCAATAAATCCATTCTCTTGCCGACTCAACATATTGTGCATCTGGGTGTCTTCTTGAACACATTTTTAAGCCGGGCGCAGCTGACTCCCATCCAGGTCGAAGCTATGGAATTGGTAGTCAAGCTCTTACTCATATCTCGTTCTCCTACTGCACAGATGGTTCTCTCTCTTTTGAGGATGTGGACATCCCTCGATTCTCTGATTCCTTTAGGACAAGCATGTATGTGGTCCCTTCAGTGGTCAGTGCACGACCAATGTATTATGAACTGTGATCCACTGGATCATCCAGTCTCCCTAATCAGGAGCAACTTCTTGCATCTTGAGTGGTGGTTGGATCGGAGCAATGCTACCATTGGTGTTCCTATACTACCCTCTCCTCCTGAGATTCATATCTTCACAGATGCCTCACTTCAGGGATGGGGTGTGTATATCAACAGTCAGGAATTCCAGGGTCCATGGATGAAAGATAAATCTTCCTTCCACATCAATATTTTAGAACTTCTTGCTGTCCAATGGGCAATGGTTCAAGGTATAAATATATTGAAGGAGAAAATCATCATGATTCATTCTGACAATTACACAGTGGTCTCTTACAGTTCCCTTCTAGGGGCACACATTCTCAGAACCTTTGTTTTCTAGCTTTGGATATTCTCTACTGGGCTTACTCCCATCATATCAGCCTCCTGGCTTGCCATGTTCCAGGGTTGATGAATTTAATAGCAGGGTCTATGGATGAAAGATGAATCTTCCTTCCACATCAATATTTTAGAACTTCTTGCTGTCCAATGGGCAATGGTTCAAGGTATAAATATATTGAAGGAGAAAATCATCATGATTCATTCTGACAATTACACAGTGGTCTCTTACAGTTCCCTTCTAGGGGCACACATTCTCAGGACCTTTGTTTTCTAGCTTTGGATATTTTCTACTGGGCTTACTCCAATCATATCAGCCTCGTGGCTTGCCATGTTCCAGGGTTGATGAATTTAATAGCAGATCAGCTCTCTCAGCCCAACAGAATTCTCTAAATTACCCTTTTCTTTTTCTAGAACTATTGCAGATTATAACATTGTTTTCCTAAGTAGCTTAATGCTTATAACAGTATACATCTGTTTATACTTAATTTTATTGTTTGATTGACTTCTGTACCATGTCCAACTAATGATCCTGCCACACAAGTTATAAGTCTTTTGGAGAACATGTAGCTCACATTACCATATTGAATGATGTTATGCATGAGCAGCTCACAAGCATACCTCATTCTGGTGCACCTTTTTTTTTTTCTTGGCTTGTCAAAGAATCAAGTTACCAGAAGTGCAAGTGCATAGGGAGAGTTGCACGAAACTTGTGTTGCCTTCCTATTGGTGGAAGGCTGTTTTCACATAATGATGTTATCATGCACCAACACAGTTCACATTAAACACATGTATTTAGGTGGGAGTTAGCTTAAGGCTGGTGGCACTCGTATCCCAGTAGGTAGATGTCTGAGAGAAATAGCATTTCTGTGTGAAGATGTATGTATTGGAAATACATTATAAGATTAGGAAAATGTTAACTCCTGAATCTTGATTAACAGGACTGATCAAAATGAATTGTAACAAATATTAACATCTCAATTGAGAAATACCTTTTGGTCAGAATTAAAATAGTAATATCAATATTTTTTTGTTTATTTGGATTAATATAAAGATTATGTACATTCCAAGAGTATTATAATCAAAACCTATTGTATTCAGTTAAAGAGATTTGTTTAATACATTCACCATGGGCAGGTCAAAGTGCGCATGTCGTGACTTTTTAATTAAACTACTTTATTATCATTGTATTTGAATAAACTTATCAAAATGTAGTTAATAAATCTAACTTTAATATTATGTAAGTTTTTAAGTTTCTTAATTTTATATGAAAATATTTTTAAAAATCCTCAATCTCCCTTAGCATGAGAATTGTGACATTTGTTCTCTTGGTCATCACTCTTTTCTTATCTACTTACCATCTCTCTAGAAAATATGGAATTTTAATGTAAATTACTCATTATAATATATGTATTAGTGAGGTAAAGCATAATTTTTATAGCTTTCAATCATATTTGTCTACAGAGTCATAAACTAGAAAATCAGACGTACTTGCCATGCCCACCTGTCACATCCCATCTATCACAAATTGCTGATAGTTTATACTATGCTATTTATAATCAGTAGAAAATCAAATGTTTAATTAGTCTAATGACATATTATAAATTATTTTTTTTCTGTACAGAGCATTGTCCATTTTGTTGTTTAATTTCAAATTTATTTTCATGGGAATCACATCGAATAGCTCAGCTGAATCTTTAAAGGCTCATATATCATAGTTAGAAAGCCAGGAAACCTATGATAGTTGAAGAAATTTTTTGGCTTTTTCATGTTATTGTTATGTGTTGTTAGGTGCAGTATTTAATTAAATAAAAAATTATTTAGTACAGTTCTACCATTAGTATGAAAAAATATGCTTAAATTTCATCGAGAGTTTACAGCAAAATAGAAGACCCAGGTAAGCACTATATTTCTTGTTTTTTTTATGTGTATTCTTTATTTATTATCATAAAAGTAAGTAAAATGTAAAAATAAGTTATTAGATTAGATTATTTAAGATAATGAAAAACAATAATAATAAAAATTCTTCACAAAGTATGCTCAGAAAAAGCTCATGCATTACATAATTTGATATGATAACATGAGCAACACATTTCCCAACTGATTTACAGCTTGTGTGGCAGGATTATTAGTTAGATATGGCTCAAAGGGCAATAAGACAATAAAATTAAGTATAAACAGATGTATGTTGTTACCAGTCTTAAGCTATTTAGAATGAACAATTTTAGTTTCCTGTTACAGTGGGCAATCATCCTAGAAATAAAAAAAGGTTAATTTAGATTTATTTCATATTTTTTATGGTGGATATGAGGTTGGTCAAATTGACCAAATACATATAGAGTTAGTGTCAAAAAAAAGTCCACACTTTGACTCCATATATTCATAAATAAATATTTAGTAAATATACTTAATTAAAAATTTGATTTTTTTATGTACTGAAAGCTTGCAAAATTTTGTGAAGATACACAAAACATATTAAAAGTTATAGTATGGAAACCGTGATGGTCACTTTGGGGTCATGAACTCAGTAGAATCAGCAGAGCCTGTAGCGAGAGAGTTAAAGCTAAACATACATATTTGCAGTTGTGTTTTCTATAAAAATATACTTCTGCATTTGATGAAATGGAATTAATATATATATATATATATGTGTGTGTGTGTGTATGGGTGTACATGTTCTTGAAGTGGAGGAGTTGAACTTGATAAAGACTAGTTAAAATCTTTGTGAAGGGCCAATTAAAAATTTTATGACTTTCAAACCCTGATATGAATCATGCATATGTTAATTTCATATTGTTAAATATATATACATATAAAGCACCAGGACCAATATGATTTTTCACAGGTTTTTAAAGAAAGTGAGAGATCAAATATTCAATCCCCTCAATTTCATTTTTGGTAGGACATTGGGCAAGTGCTTAAGAATTTAAAGAATTTCCTAATATTATTCTTATTTTTGAGGGATGGTAAGAGTTGCCCTGGAAAATATAGGCCAATTATGTTTACTTCTGTAATAGAAATAGTTCTAGAGGTTCTGTTAAACGATGATTTGCAAATTGTCTTGTGGCATATTCATAAATGAACATTGTTTCACGAAAGGGAAATTTTGTCTTGCTAATCTTTCAACTTTTTCTAAAGATCTTATGTGTTATCTGGATGAAGGAATAGGTGGGGGCTTGGTGCACTTTGATTTTTGGAAAAGCTTTTTGTAAGGTACCATACAAAAGAGTAGCTAAGAAAATCACATTGATGGAGGTTAGAGAAAGATTAGATTTTGTGATGGTTGGAAGAGAAAAAGCCAAAAGTTGTTATTAATGGAGTCCAGTCAAAGTAAACACTTGTTACTAGTGAAGTGCTTTTGAGGTCAGAGCTTGAATCTTTGCTTTTTGTTTTTTATATAGTGATATTGATTGGGCATAATTAGTAAAGTATGCAGATTATACTACATTGTTTTGTATTTCTAGCCATGTTCAGGTACTACAGAGTAACTTCAATTAAGTGATTAGTTAAACATATTATTTGGTTATTCATATGTGATATATGTCTTATAAGTGAAAGTTTAAAGCACGATTGAAATTCAGTTTTCATTAAAACAAGAGGAAATCCTCAATAGCCACGACTGTTATTAGATCTCAAATCAGGCAAGAGATGGAGCTAATAATTATAATGTATTTTTAAAGTTAACAAGTGGAATAACTAACAAGAATTCATTTAGTTTTTAAACTTTAATGTTTTGTAATAAAGATTTAATTGTAAAAATATATTTTTGTTTTATTGGTTAGAAAGAGAAGCTTGTATTTTATTTTTTTTACACTATTATTATATATAGGCATATTTTTTACATAAGCACATAGAAATTCATTCTTGTATAGTCAGAATGATTTGCAAATGGTAAATTTAAACAATTTGTTGCTCTGTGAGTTAGGTAGATCATAATCTGATTGTTATATTGATACATTTACAACTAGTAAAATATGTATATGCAATCATCCTAAGTTGAAAATATTTTATTTAAAGATGGACACGTTGGGATTAGTTTTTTAACTTATTAATATCATAACTAATAAAAGAGAATTTGCTTGTGGTAAGATATTTTCTCTAGTAAATCTTGTTTTATGTTTCAGTTTCCAGGTATTTTTTGTCTCTAAAGCTAGTGTACTGGGAAAAAGATGGCACTATATAAGGGAGCTGCCAGTGAAGCTGGCCGAGCCATGCAGTTGAAAAAGAAAAGAGAAAAGGCACTGGAAGAACTAGAACATCAAAAGAAGAAAATTGAAGAAGAATTGAAACTTTCTAACATTGGAAACAAGTTTGCTTCTCACTATGATGCAGTTGAACAACAACTAAAGTCCAGTACCATAGGATTGGTTACATTAGATCAGATGAGAGTAAATATGAAATAAACTTTTTCATTCACAGTAAACTATTATAAATTTTTGCAATCATGTTGCTGGGATATTAAAATATACATGGCAATCCATAGTGGAAAATATTAACTGCTGTCAAGCTCTTCTTCAATTTTGAATGTATGGTATTTATTCACATTTGCCTGTGAACCTGAATGATTATTTAAGTTTTAAGTGTTTGTTAAAGTAGGAAATAACTGATATATTAATTAAAAACAGAAATTTAAAGAAAAATATATATTATGAACTTCATACTAAATGTAAACAATAAAATTCACAGCTAGTTCACTAGTGAGTTTCTCGTTTAGTTGAATCACAACACAGTTTTTCTGGATTATTACATATCATTAACATATATGGAAGAAGAAGATTCAAACATAGTTTATGTGTCAAAATTTTGTAAGTTTTTAGTCATTTGATGACATTCATCACACACATATGTTAGCAATTCAAAAAGTCCTCCTGTTCTTATGGTTAGCTTTTAGTAGAAAGGGATACTTGCTAGTCTGCACTGTAGAAATTTCAATATGTTTTTTAGTCATTGAAGAAAAAAAGTACCGGTATAAGGGTTTCAGGAATATCTTTTGCTGAATGATAAATAGATTGAACTTTCATCCACATTAAGTTTGTGACAAAGAATATTGATTCATTGATACTTAAACAAATTGTGGTGCTCTATTGACTTCACTGAAATATTAGAGATTAAAGACTTTTAGGAGTCTATGTAATATCTGATGTATTTATGTTTGCCTAATACCATCTGGAACAATCTGGATGAATACTACATACAATGTGTTGTTTTGCCACATGGTATTTAGGAAGAGTTTCTGACATTTTACAATGACCCTACAGTCTTAGTTTTAGGCATGTAAGAATGGGAAACTTAAGTGATGTACGTGCAGAAGTAGTAACTTATCTTCTAAAATAAGGTTTTGAACCCCCCGTCCCCCTTTTTTTTTTTTTCTTCTACATTTCCTATTTATATAAAGCAGAGTTGCATGGACATATCTACTTCAGGTTGTTTCATGTACTGTACCTTTTCTCCCAGGCATTCAAATATGAATTTAGACACTGCAGTGCTTGTTAAACCAGCATATAGACTAACATAGCTTTCTCTTGCACTTGTCTTGGATATCTGTAATGAACATTTTCTTGTTTCATAGAATATTGGGCTAATGCTTTTAAATTATTGGGGATTTCATTGACGAAGTATATTTGACTGAAAAATGGTTTGAACAGTTAGCCTTATGTTAAGTATTAGAATTTCAAATAGCCTGAAATTGAGTTAACTGATAAATTTAAATTTAGTAGTTAAATTGTAATTTGAATTTAGTAGTAAAGTAAAAGCCAATATATATATATATATAGTCAGTTTATATTTGCAAACAAGATTGATACACACAGTTTTCTTTTATACAAATACATTTTAATATACACACAATAATACAATTTACAATAACAGTTATTACAAACAATGATTTATAAACAAAAGTTTCACAAACTTGCAAGCAATATAAAGTCTTCCTTTTAATCTGGAACTTCTTTGATATCTTATCAAGGGTTCACAATGAGCAAGTTGATTACGAGTTGACGTAGGTATATTTCACTTAATGGGAAGCTAACTAGCCCTGTAGTCTTCACTGTTCATATACCTATTAGAGATTGAGTTTCCACCAATGATGTTAGGTTATTTACTGGCCACATACATTGAGCTCTCCACAATGAATTTATATAATGTTTTTGTAAAATTACTAATGTCCGATGAGAATCCAGTGAAGTTAAATGATTTGTAATTTTCGAACTTTGTAAAGGTTCCTGGTCAAATATTTGAAGTTTTCTGATTGATAAGCATTATAATAATCACAATTATAGCTTCCAAAGTGTATAGCACACTAACTATAGGGAACTAATAATAGATACTCTCCTTGGCGTAGCGCGTTGGTTATACTTATAGCCATGTGGAGGCATTCAAGAAATTTCAGTTTTACTTAACAATACTGAACTACATTTAAGCGTTTACATACACACATATGTTGTTGATTCTTACTCTCGAGAATCTTCTACAACTTTGGAGAATAGGTGGGAGTTTCACGATACATATTTAACAGTATAAGCCATGTATGTTTCTAAATATAAATTTAATCTAAACAAATGTTGATATTAAAATAAATATATAACAACAAATTTGTTACACTTATAATCTGAGTTTTCAAGATATTTACATTTTCTTTTAATACTCTGATTCAATAACTTAGACTTCAAAAGTTCTTTTGGGATATTGAAGTACTTCATTTCTGAAACGTATCCTCAAATAATCTGGATCATAGTTATTTTATTCTACAAAGAATCTTATCTTTTATCCAGTGTTAGCATTAAATCATGTTCTAATAATGGGGCTTGTATGTGAATGAATTTGTTTATACACAGCATATGTAATGCTTGTCAAAGAGAAGTGGCCAATCACTGTTTGGAAATATATATTAAAATAAAATGACACTCCTCTAACTTGCAAGTTTTTAATAATTTATTTGTTTCCTTCAAAAAAAATGCATCAGTGCTGTCTGTTAAACAAGCAAAATAATAATGAAAAGTTAAAAAAATATAATAAACATAAAATCATGATTCATATGGGTTAGTGAATAATACACAAAGAAGGAAAGGATATTACTAGATTAAAAACTGTGTGTGAAAAGGTATTAAAGTGATTGTTCTTGCACTGTGTATTTCTTTTGTAGCAATATGTTTTCAAAATCCTAAGTTGTCTATTGTAACAACCAAATCATTGTGTACAAAGAGAACAAATTAGGTAATAGATAGCTTTAAATATTTCAACTGTAGGAGTTAAAAGTACAGATTTGTGATGCTCAAATATCTGATTGAAATAATGTGCTAAAATAAAATTAAAAAATTGTTTCAGAAAATTTTGAATAAGTGCTTTATACTTATTATTGATGGGAAATGACATTAAAATTTTTACATGTAATGATATGATTTACATAACTTCTTTGTTTGACTAGCTAAACAATTCCAATTTTAAAAGCTGATTAAAATTAAATAGGCAAGACAAGAAGATGTTGTAAAGGAGAGAGAACGCCAACTTGCGCAAAAGCAAAAAGAAAAGGAGTTTTTGAGACAGCAAGAGATTGAGGCAAAAAGGCGTAAAAAAGAACAACAGAAAAGACAAGTTTGTATAATGTTTTTTTATATTTTTATATGTTAAGTATCAGAAATCTTATAAAGCATTACCTTTAAAGATATTTTCATTATACATATGAATATTTTCTGATTTTTTAAGGATAGGCACATAATAACAATTAAACATTGTTTGTATATCTGCCTGTGCTTGAGTTTTATTTGATAACTTTTATACAAAATTACTTCATTGGTGGTTCTTCATAATTTTTTTAAAAATGTTATGCTATTGTTTTTTAATCCATAATATAGTGATTGTCAAGAATGGAGACCATTGGTATCAAATAACCTTCTTAATTTTAAATTTGAGGTTTCCGCAACTATAGCATGTTAAACATGCTAAACTTTAATTCACAGCTTGAAACTTAATACATCTTGTTTAGTTATGAAACATCTCCCTTGTATGTATAATTAATATGCATAAAAAATTCTAAGTGGAAAACTAAAATATCAGTTCATATTTTTCATTCAGAAAAACTTTGAAATATTACTAGGGAAACATTATTTTCTAACTATATATGATGTATCCCCACATAAATAGGCATTTTATGAATTAAGCATTCAGTTGTTTTCAATTAACAGTTTTTGCTAAATTTTTAGATCCGATTTTTTAAAATAAAACTTGAATATTACTGATTTGTATATTTGCAGAGTGTATTTTGCACTGACATCTGGATTAAAAAAGAAAATAAAACCTGTAGAATAAAAAATATATAACCCTTAATGTTCTATGAGTATCACAGTATAATTATACAGAATGATAACTTCTTCATTTAAAGTAGTTTTTAAGAAAGACATAAAAAGTTCTGGTGTTGGTAACTCACACCTCATCCTGCTATAATGCTAGGTTGAATTTATAATAGAACTACTTAGCCTTTTATATAGCTAAGAAAAATTCCATTGTAGTCTTAGTTGGTTACTGTTTTGAAACTGCTGTAAGTTGAAAAAATGTTGAGTGAATGATTTTGTTTATTTTGGAACTTAACTATGAAAATATTTATGAAACAAAAAAGGTGTTAGTTAATATTTTTTTCCTGGGAAATACTGATAGTTGTTTTTAGTGATGAGGCATAATATTTTACATATAAGATGTGCATATGGAATTAAAGACAATTTTAATGTCACTTAAAATAATTTGCTGAAACACAGTTTTACAAGCAGTCTTAACAACTTCTGGATATGTGCAAGTGTGTTAAATGATATAGGCATTTTGACTTTTTTTCTAACTGTCTTAAATTATATTTTCAGATTGCTTCTCTGTCATTTAAAATAGATGAAAATGAGGAGGAAGATGACGAGGAGGAGGAGGAGGAAAAAGTATTGATGACCATGTGCAGATCTTAACAGATGAAGATAGCCAGGAATCAAAGACAAATGACGAAACAGATGAGCCAGTGGTAAAGAAGAAAAAGATTGGCAAGAATCCAAATGTAGATACTAGTTTTTTGCCTGATAAAGAGAGAGAAGAAGAAGAACAGCGATTGAGGGAGGAACTGAGGCAGGTTAGCAAAAAACACAGAATGTATAATAATTAACTAGAAATGTAACATTAGTATAATTAAAACATTATATTTTTTATGATCACCTAAATCTAACTATTGATTAATTACTAATTTCTTTCATTACTTGAGTATTTAATCATCTTAACTATGTATAGATGGTGGCCTAAGCACACCATCTATTTCTCTCTATCCTTGTTCTTGCAGTTTCAAACATGATATTCCCTTGATTATATTGTTTTTTTAGTTCTTTAGTATTCTTTATCATGAGCCATCTAATTTTTCCAGATCTAATTTAACTGTTTTGTTGATCATCTAATATATATACACATTACAAAACTATCTTGACGGCAAGCAGCAAACAAGTATAAAGTTTGTAACTAGAAGAAGTTATTGTTTGCTATACTTTATTTATTGTTCTATGTTTTAAGCAAAATAACTTTAAGAACTTGTTTGAACATAATAATAATTTATATACATACATAATGTATTATAACTGAAATGTAACTGTATTTTACAAAATACTAGTCTACTAAAACACAACTGAGACAGATCACTTCGTAAAGGCCAGTTTTATGTTCTTGGATACAATAACATGAGTGCACGTTTATTACAGTGATGTAATAGTGAAAATAACAGATAAGATATAAAGTTTTTCTAAAAAAACGTTTGATAACTATTTGGAGGTTATAAAGATTTTGCATGTGAAGTGTGACAATTTCCTGATGCAAAAAAGTATTTTTAAACTTAAAATAAAAATTACTTTTCATGTTGGATAGTCAACATATGAAAAGAAAAAGGGCACAAGAAAAACATTACTTAAAAAATAATCTTAAAAGTTAATAAAAAAATTGAGATTTTGCATATGAAAACCTTGTAGTGTTTACTGATAATATACAAAATTTTATAAAGATACTCTTACTAATTTAAAAGTTATAGCAAGAAAACTATAACAAGCACAATATGGTTACGAGGTTTAGTGCCAAGGAAAGAAGCCCTGCTGAGAGAGTTAAGCCATTCAGATGCTTCATGAGGTCAGTCAGTCACTAAGTTGTTTACTTTTATTACTTATCTTTGCCACAGCAGCACCCCCACTCAAATCTCGTGTGGTTTCTGAGAAATGTAATTATTTTCCTAACCATTTTGCTAACATCATTTTCCAGCATGTGATGCAGAAAGTGATGATTGGTAAGCCAAACACTGAGTAAAGGAAAATGGCATTAAGTGTTATTCTTTGCTGGAAATATGCGACATTTGATAAAAGCCTATTTTCATGAATTGAGTACTTTATTATATCTTGTTTCACCATGGGGAAGTGTGTATTCAATAGGACTTGGTTAAACCAAAATGAATTCAAAAATTTGGTCAGAGAACACAAAGGATGTCACTATGTGATGTAGTATGCTGCTTGTAAGAAAGTATTAGATCAATGCAAGATGTTTAAAACTGTGCTTAGTTGCGTATACACAATGAAAAGCATTATATAAATGTGAAGACTTTTGAGAAAACTGTATGTTTAGTTTCCTCAGGAAAAAACAGCACAGCTGTTTCTTGGATAGTAGAACAAAACTGGTTAATGTCAAAAGTTTCATTAATTTCCTTTATTGAGATTTCCTTGTAAAATAGTAGTTGAAGCCTTAAAGTTCTGAAGGAAGTCCTTGAATTTTATCATCATAGTTATGTACAAACTCTGTAGATGCAGTAACACTTCATTTCTGTGATTTGATTATTTGTGACTTTTTTGTGAAAGATGTCACTGTTAGGACTCTCTTTAACAATATAAGGAAAATTAAGATATGGCTGAAATGTTTGACTATTTTCCTCCCTTTACTCCTATTGTACTTCCTTTCATGATTCCTTTTGGCTTCATTGATGATTATTTTCCATATTTTATTATTTTTACTACTGAATTGTACTCCCATTTTCTTACACATTTATCTTCGAGAAGATCAACTGAAGCTTTAACTTTCCAATCTCTCTTGAACTTGCTTCTTCTTCTCTTTCCTTTTCAACCCTTTTCTGCTCCATTGTTGTCTGCATTTTTGTAAGTTCATAATTTTCCCTATACTCTTTCTTTACATCATAAAGGTTCTCTTCCAGTTTAGCCCATAGCTTATCTAATCCTTTTATTGTCTTTTCAGTTTTCAGTTCTACTTCTTTTTGTTCCACTTCTTTTGATTTAGACATCAGTGATCTTAATCATTTTTTCACCTTTTGAAAAACTCCTCTTATTCCTGTCAATCTTGAGACTTGTCAAGCTTAGATAGACTTTCACTCCCTGATCTTTTCTACTTACGTTTTTGTCAACTATAACCACTTTTAACTTTACTCTTACATAACTTACTATATTATTTTATTTAGGTCTTCATTAATGTGTAACTTCAATCTTCATATAGTTTATCTGAAATCTTCTTTATTGTTTAACTTGCATCTTCCTTATTATTTAGGTTAAATCTTCACTTTTGTTTATCTTAATTCTTTAGTTTCCTAGTGTTGAACTTTCTTTTCTAATATTCAGTTTACTTGCCTTTCTTTTTTTTTAATCAGTCCTATCCTATTTCAAGACTTGTCATGTAATCATTCCTGAATGACCAACTGCAATTGACCTTTGACCTCAAATAACTGCATGAAACTTCTGTGTTATTAGCTCAGCACACCCAAATCACTTACTTTACTTAAAATCAAATCCATATACTCTGAAATGTATAAAGATTAGCTACTGAAAGTCACTATATCTTAATAAACTGGCTTTTTTTTATTAGTACTGACAAATTTCATGTCTGTCTACCAGCATTGACCTGCAATACCCCCAACTATGAAGTAATATTCACTAAAGACATAGCTAATTTTGAGGAGCTTAATAGTTCTCAGGCTAATAAATTAACTTTATCAATTACAGAATTAACTTAATTCTAGAATGTATTTTTGCTGCTTTTTTTTTCACATTAACACTAGATTTTCATGTTATATAATGAGTATTTGTGTGCTTATATTTAGCCATGTGCTATTTCAAAATATATGTGTTTAGTCAAAAAAAATTAAAGGGTATACAATGGCGTAAACATAATATATATTAAATAATGAATAAATGTTTCATATTTTTGCAAAGTATTAGAAACACAATTTAATGAGCTGAGTAGGTGTAGATAATTTTTTTCAGCAATGGGAAGAAAAACAGCAGAAACTTAAGAGTGAAGAAATCCTGATTACCTTCAGCTACTGGGATGGTTCTGGTCACCGTCGTAGTGTAAAGATGAAGAAAGGAAACAGCATCTACCAATTCCTTCAAGTATGTTGCATTGCATTGTTTAGCTGGCACAAAAAAATCTTTAGCTATTTAGATAATGGTCAAAGATATTTAATTACTAAACTCAAAATTTTTATTGTGTTGATTATGGTGATCATTTTGTAAGGAAGTTTACTTCTGGTTCCAATTTATTACATCTATAAATCACCTTGTTAACAATATTATACATTGCCAGAGACTATCCTGATTAGTTAGAATTCACTTTTTGATAATTGCAAACTTGTCCTTGGTATTGGCCTTTGAATTTCAACTGAATTTATATTACAAGACCAGAGATCTTGCCATTTGTGTAGTTTGAAGATTGGAACCTAGAAAGCATGGACATTGATAGAGATGGTTGATTAGTGGTATTTGTAATTCAATCAATCAACAGCTCCTCTGATTGATTAGCAGTGTTCCTTAAACGATTCTACATAATAGAAAAGAAAACAGATTATGGCAGGTGCTGACAGAAAGTTGCCTTTCCATTATTTAGCAGTTCAAGAACAAAAAAAAAACAACAACTTGGCAGCAGGTTTGACTTTCTGCTAGTCAGTAGTTCATAAAGAAGGAATAAATGGTCATGGTGGGTACTTAAAAACAGTTGCTTTAACTCTAATCAGCAATTCAAGAAGAAGAAAAAAGAAAAAAATAGTTTGAAGTGAATACTACCATGCATTTGCCTTTCCTCTATTCAGCAGTTCAACATTAGCCCATTATGTAGCTTTGTGCATAACAACAATGTTAATAGCAATATTTCAATCGCTTAGATAGTTGGAACAATCAGAAACACTATTTTTAATTAGTTGATTATTTTCATGACAAAAGATATGATCAGAATTTCGATTAACAGCTATTTTACATAATTGCTGCTCACAGGTAATCAGTATATCAATTAAGCAATAACATTGCCTGTCTCTAAACATTTAAAACTTAGTGGGGTAAAGCTGCTTTATAAGTACCCTTTTCTACTGGTGCTCCCTCTGAGTAATGTATTTGCATATTGCCTGTAAATTTGACCAAGACAAAATGTCTTATTACTATCAATTCTGCAGTGCTACTGTTTTATATGCTTTGAGAGACAAAGCCAGGAAAAACTAATCCACATAAAAACAAATTATCGTGAGTATCAAACTATTAATACATATTTCTGAGCTTAAGTTATTTTAAGCTAATACTGTGCTTTAAACTTTATATAACATAAAGTTTATTTTACTGCAAGCAATTTGAAAATTGGTATTAATAATTATGTTTGATTAAGTTGGCCACAAACCTGATAACTAGACAGGGTATTTTAGGGGTGTGGGGTCATAATATTGCAGAAATGTGAAAAATTATTCCAGAGCCTTGAAAAGTCAGAGAAAATTGTACCCTCATCCCTTTATCTTTGTACTGCATGTGCATGCAAACAGTGTTGCATAGCTGTGTCAGTTATTAATATGTTTGGTCAGACACTCTATGTTGTTTTATCTGGTAATAATTAGTCAATTTATTGTATTTGATGAAAGGTTAAGTCAAATGTTCTTTTATTGATAAAAAGGTAATATTTTATTGTCTACTATCAAGTTGCAATGTCCTTTTTTGAAGATGTTTTTTCTAGTACCATAGTACATTCTGAAGTTGTTATTACCAAATTGCACGCTAGAGGAGTTAGAGGACTGAAAAATTATAATTATTAGATTGTTCTGAAACATCTTTGAAACAGTTACTTTTGCTATAATTTTTATACTCTAAAATTATACTACAAAAATAATCTAATTATTAGATTGTTCTGAAACATCTTTGAAACAGTTACTTTTGCTATAATTTTTATACTCTAAAATTATACTACAAAAATAATCTAATTATTAGATTGTTCTGAAACATCTTTGAAACAGTTACTTTTGCTATAATTTTTATACTCTAAAATTTACTACAAAAATAATCTAAGTCTCATACTACTATTTCTAATAGAAACTAAATATATTGTATTCATGCTTAAATCAACATAATGGATAGTAGTGTTAATGTAAGTTTCTTGCTGATGTTTCAAAACTCATACATTATTGCTTGGAAATAGTTCCTGAAGTTCTAAACTGCTCAGGACCATATTCCATGCAAATGCATAATTATTATGGAAGCTGAAAATGAAAACTTCTCACAACAAAGTAGTATAATCAACGAATGTAGTTGATAGTTTTCAAAAACTATTTTCTTGTTTAAGCATCTTGTAGGAGACAAGAGTTATTAAAAAGTGTTATAAGAATTTTGTTGACTTGAACCATTTTAATGATATATCAGTGTCTTGTGAAGTATTATCACCTTTTATTTCCATTTTAGCAAAGTTGAGCAACAGCATAAATGCTAGTGTTGCAACTACTAATGTGTTCTAAATAAGTATGTGCATGGGCTGATAAAATTAGGTAATATATTATGTAGTTCAAATGCAATAAATATTAAAATTGTAAAATTGTTGTATAAGCTATTTTTTTCTGCCAAATTCTCCTTGCTTTAAAGTTCTGCAAGTTTAATCACAGGTTTAAGCTTTTCATGAGAATGACAAAAAGTATTTAATTGGTATGCTGATTTCAGAAAAGTCACATTGTCTAAAATTTACTCTGTTATATTAGCATCAGTGCTTACATTCATCTTAAGTGAAATGATACAATTTTTTCTTCTAATATTGTGTTATCTGATGCTGTAAAGCATATCGGTGACTTGCATAAAGAAAAAAAATATCAAGAAATTAAGAAGTTATAGATTTTTGGATCAGTATCACTTGTCAAAGGTGATGTTTATGCTATTGACAGTAGGTAAAGCTTATTGAACCTTGTATTGATATGGATTGCCAAGAGAGAATTTTTGATGTTCAATATGGTGGGGAGGAATGAAATGAAAAATTTTGTAATATCACCTCTGTACCACATTTTGCTCTGTGTACGGTCATAAAGAATGAGAGAATGCTTGTTTAAAAAGTGCCATCTTCTATAGCACTGTTTCTCAACCATTGCTCCATCACAACCATCTTGCCAATGGAATTTCATGAAAAAAAACAAAAATTGACTGGATATTCTTATGTAATTGTAATGGTTTTTGTTGTATTTTTATATGAATAGTCCTTGACAGTTTAGGGAGACAGCGAGCTGGTGCCTGGTGTCGAAAAAGTTGAGAAATACTGTTCTGTAGTATTGTATTTAAATTGAGAAAACTGCTTATGAACCAGTTCATTAGATATTTAAATGTTTGTCTCTCTTCCTGATTTTCAGAAATGCCTGGAATTGTTGAGAAAGGAGTTTAACGAGCTTCGAGCAGTTATGGCAGATCAACTGATGTATGTCAAAGAAGATTTAATTATTCCTCATCATTATACCTTCTATGACTTTATAGTGACTAAAGCTCGAGGAAAGAGTGGACCTCTATTCAGCTTTGATGTTCATGATGATATCCGACTTGTTAGTGATGCCACTGTAGAAAAAGATGAGTCACATGCAGGTAAAGTTCTGTTGCGAAGCTGGTATGAGCGCAACAAACACATATTCCCTGCATCACGCTGGGAACCATATGACCCAACAAAGAACTATGAAAAATACTCTATATCTGATAAAAAGAAGTGATGTTGAGTTGAACAACATAACTATTGTAGTAAGCCATTAGGAAGTGGGAATTTTTAGCAGTACATTTTTGTTATTTTTACAGATTCTGACTTAAGAAATATAAGACATTTCGATGTTAAACTTTAGTGTCTTTTTTTTTTATTCTGCATGTGCAAAGTTTTAAATGTATATATTTTTTGTGTAATATGTTGTACCGTGACTGTTGAAAGAAATCAATAAGTTCACTAAGGGCTGAAAAATCATTAACAGCGAGATACCCAACTGATGACCTAAGGCAAGTGGTTATAGAAACATTTAATGATTTGCCTGTTACTGACATTAAGAGTAATTATTAATGATGATTTTTTGGAACCTTTATGATTTAAGTTATTACATAATTGATACAGAAATATATTTTGTGAAAATGTAATTGATATACAAGTTCAAGATGCCTTTTGTTGTATTTAAAACAATTCACCATTTGTTATAAAACTTTATACTAATTTGTGTTTTGTATCTTCTAATACTTTCCAAGAAATAGAGATGGAGAATGTAAATGTGGTAATTTTGTTCTATATTTAAGAACTATGCATTGCATTGACTTATTTTGATACATATCTTAGTAATTGATGTGTTCGAAGGAAAACGAAGTTTGATAATAAATAAGATTACGACACTTATGATATAAAAAAATTTCTTTATTAACAAAAAAGGGACATAGGTAAACGTTTCGGAATTCTATCAGATTTCATCTTTAGTATCTAAAGCAAAATAAAATGAATTTACATAAGTCTTTGGACATTGTCAAAGTACAAATGCTAAATTTAACGATAATTAAACAAATGAAATACAAAAAAGTAATCATGTGGGGAAGTACAGCAAGAAAACACAACAACAAACAAAAGTAAAATCAGTAATATGAACATATTAAAAAAAATGTATAATTTAAATGAAGACTGCATGTTGTTCAGTGTTGGAGAGTGCTGTTTGATGTGGAGCATTTCTTTAATCAATAATTCCAGCTCAGTATTAGACTTGCAGAGGATAGAAAAATTTGATAGTATAGATCGATGTCCTGTTTCTTCACTATATTGGCGTATACAGGAAACACAGGGGGTTACTCTTTTTTCTTTTTTCTTTTTTTTTTGTTTTTTTTTTGCATTCTAATGGAAATTCCCATATGTTCATAGGCTCTGACTTTGACTTCCGAACTAATAATAGCGTGGTGTTTATGTGCACTTTATTTTGGAAGATGCTAACATGTAGAGCTTCAGATTATGGAAAGAAAGTTACATTAATGAATGTAATAAAACATTTATTGGTAATTATGTGTATTATCTCTAAGATATACGTAGTTATGGTAACATTATTCAGTAACCAGTGATAATATAACCACTTTGAACTTTCAATAAAGAGTAGTGAAATATTGTCCAATTTTTAGTATCAGTAAGATATTTTAGCCATCTAGGTTTTACTAGAGCTCTATGGGATAACATACTTTGTGTTTATGTAAAATTTATATATGAATAAGATAATTAAAAAAGACATGATTGAAAAGTGTTTTACAAATAATAAGTGCATGTTTTCAGTGCTACACTTCAAACCATGTTGAGATTGGTTGATGTTTACAATGTTTTACTCTCTTCTGTTACATCCATGTGGCTTAATTCCCCAGTTATTGTGTATTTTTATTGTTTACTGTTTTATTGTTTTAGGTATTCTTGCTGTACTTTTGTCTGTCATATTGTTTTATCTTAGCTTCCCAGGTGTCACATGTTCTTGCTATTTACTGTCTTCTGCTACATAGTTGTATTTTAAATCCCTATGTGTATTCTTGCTACTTGCACTCCTCTGATCACATAGTTATACCATAACTTCCCAGATATGTGTTTTTCTGTTCTTTTATATGACACATTCACATCTCATATTGCATAGTCTGTTGTTTTACTTTCTTTTACAGATTTATTCTATAATTTGCTAGGTGTAGTGTCTCATTGTTCTTGTTATGTATTAGACCCCAGTTTATTTTTAAGGAATGTTCTTACATTACATTGGATATTTGTCTTTTAATACAGACACAAACATAGATTTTTGTGTGTAATACACAAACCTTATCATTCATTTAAGTAGATATGGTCAAACTATATGTTAATAAACTGGAGCTGTCATTGAAAACAGTTTTATTCAGCATAATCCTTCATAAAAATGGGTTATCTGTATAGCATAAAGGGAAAACAATCTTGAAAGCGAAGTTTCAGAAAAAGAAGAAAAGAGAAAGTAACTTACTAAATTATAAAATCAACATGTAATCCTATATTTAGTGAGCTAAATTTACAGTGATGTAATAAGAGAAATGCGCGATGGCTCAAAATAGGAATACCATAGTTAAAGTGAAAAAAATATCAGATAGCTTTTTTTTTTCTACTCCTTGTTGTCATGGTAAGACTAAATCATTCAAAATTTGTCTAAAAGTAAAATTATTTTTTAGAGCTTATAAAGTAGAAGGTTAACTTAAAAATATTAATGTGATTCATTAAAGGTATTTGTTTGTTCCCAAAATCAGAAGGGAAACGTAGTTTAAAGGTCATTCAAAAGAAGCATTAAAGTAAAACTACTATTGTAGAAAACCAAAGAATGAATACTATTTTGGTTGCAAAATCTTTCCTTTAAATCCTCACTACAAAGTTATCCCATTTTCTAACCATTAATTATTTGAAACCTATTTTATTAGATTTTAGCCAGAGAGAGTTGAACAAATAGCAGCCAAGTTGATTAAATTTTTTTTCTGCTTCAGACCTCATCTTTGAGCAGTAGACTTTATTAGACAGGCACTACCATCATAGCAAAATCTTTCATTTAAATGATAAGCTTGTCCTTTGAGAACTTCACAAACATTCAATTAAGAAAGTTAGAAGAAAAAGTTAATAGGAAGAAAATATTAACCTTTACAATTACTAAATTATTCTAAGGTGTTAAATTTAAATTTGACCTTTCAGTGGCTTGTATAGAATTACTTCATCCAACTCTCCCTTGGCACCTGTTTTAGGTTTCAAGCTTAAAAATAGTTAGTAAACCTTTTTATATAAATATTTTTTAATACACTATAAATGTAGTTAATACAACCATAGTTAAAATAACTTTGCACATTTTACTTTTGACATTAACAGTAAGTACAACAGAAGCAATTAATCAGGTAAAAACTTTAGGCCTGCAGTTTGGTCTTAAAACATAAAATAAAATTTCATGATTCTTACTTTATTTCAGTGTTTAAAGTCATACTCGTTGTTAGTGTAATTATTTTATTAATAGTTGAAGAATTTAAATACTTATAAGATGCATCTAACAATAAATTTGAGAAATGTATCTCAGTTCAAACTTGGTGTTCATATGTGATATGCGGGCATATCATGTGTTTTTCTTCCTTCTATAATGTTATAGTAATTTTTGAAAAATTTTGAGTTATGTAATTTCCATGCTATAATGGCAGCAACATGTTAAGATTACCTCATTCTAGTTGATTCATTTCTTTGTTCTCGAAAGAAGGTTATGTCTCTTCTGCCTGCAGGAGTATTGCAGTAATATCTTTATTATCAGTGTTAAAATAATTGGTATTGTAATGTCCTTTGCTGGCCAGTTATAAAACTGACTGAATGCAACAGCCAATCAATACTGTGAGGAACAAAGTTCATGAGGTGATGCTGTCAATTGGACAAAGAAAGTAAGTTTACCTGTTAAATTGTGGCACACTTTCTTGATCTAGTTCTACTAGGAGATTGCCAAGTGAAAACTTACTTTTAAAATCACTGTTTAGTTAGAGAATTCTATCTTGAGAGAGATAAAGCTGTGGGACTAAGTACATCCTAGTAGAAGCAACTGACTGTCTTTTGGCATGTGCAAGTAGGTACACTTTTGTGTGTGTGTGTGTTTGCCAGATAATAAAGATTGTTTTATTTTTTATCAATTCTGTTCAGTCTTATTATTTCAAATGCTTGTAGGTCCCACTTACCTATAACAGAACACTCCCTTTATTTTCTTTTAGAACCTGCTGTTATATTGCGGGTTTACTTGTCAGGAAATTGATTTTACCTGACAGTACTACACACTCATGGTAACTATTGTTCTGTCAAACTTACTACTAGCACCAAATTCATGGATTTCTATCATTTGTATTCAACTGTACTGTGAACCTGTTAAACCTGACTCAAATGCCCTCTAAGGCTTAATGAATCTATAATTGTTGGTTATGACATAGTCTCCCATATCACCATTCTACCATAGCTAATTCAACTGTCTCTTACATTCAGTGTGACTAGGTGGGCAATGCCAAAAAATACTTGTGATATGCTTATTGTAATTTGAAATTACTTTTTGTCATCACCTTCAATTATTTGTAGACATCCTTTCTATTAAATTATGTTATTGAATTGTACAAGACAACATTATGATCCATTGTTGTAATGTGTTCTGTCATTAGGTTCTTTTGGATTATCTGGTAAAAATAATGTGGAATCTGGTGCATATAGCAATAAGGGATTAACTTATTTCTTCCTTAACTTTTGCTACACGTTACTTTCACTTGTAGTGCAAAAACAATGTTTTACCAGAAATTCCAAGACTAATGCTAAGTATACCTGACTCACAAATAAACCTATGTAGAGAATTTCCTTGTTATTTGATTAACTTAATAAACACATTAGATTCTCACTTCTAACACTGAACTGTGAACAACTTTTCTGACACTGAATCTGTAAACTCACTGAATGTTTATTAACCCCACTAACTAATTATTTGTATTTATGAATAATATAACTTCATCTCTAAATATTAGACAAAATTTATTCATTATTATGTTGTCATCATTAGCAGCTACCTCTAATAAATAACTAAATTATAAAATTGAAAATGTAGCTTGCAACAATATCTTCTTCAAGTTCAGATCTGTTAAAGATACACAGTGATGAATTATAATGTCATGTTTTTTGGTGTGTTTTTTTCCTTTTTGGTGAACATGTTATCTATAAAACAGTCAATATATTGTTGTGATAAGCAGGCATATCATGCTTTCTACTTCTTTATTTCTATAGGAATTTGTATTATTTTTTTATATGGTTTGTGAACAGCTTTTTGCTTAAACATGTGGTCAAGAAGGATGTTAATTCTCACTTTTGGTGTAACATGTACAGTCATTATTTTCATGGATTCTAAGTAGTCTTGCATTGAAAGAAGTAAAAAATATATTCAGGGAAGTGAGTACTTTTGAAATATTTCAATCTACATGTCATGGTTCAGCCAGATGTCACCATCTGTGAATGGTGAAACTCACCAGTGTTTTATATTCTTCACAAAATGAATAATTCGTGGCAGAACTCAGCTGAACTACACTTTCAGCCAACATTTCCATTGCCAAAATTACTATTCACCCTACTGCTACCTAGTACTTCAAAACATCTTGAAACGAACTTTGGCTAAATACAGTATCCCACAATAAATGGGAATTTACTATCCAATATGGCCACCAACTGAGAACCATCAGAAAAATGTATTACCTTACAAAAGTTAATCCACTTGTGTTAATTGGCATCACAAGAAAGTAAGTAAAACTAATCTCAATGAAATGAGACCCATGCCAATGAAATTCACAAACACCCTCTCTACCTTCTGCACATGTAAAGAGTATAAC